CATATCTTGAAGTCTGTAGCCATACGTTGTACTCGAAACGCAAAGGAGGGGAAAAATGTTAAACCATAGGGGAGTCGGTGAGCAGAGGTTACTCATTGATATACAGAATAAAAAGGAGAGGACCGAGAACCGTGCCTTGTGGCGCTCGGCTACTTACTGCTGTCCAGGAGGAGAGTTTTGAGTTGATCCTAACCCTCTGCCTCCTATCTATGAGGAATTCCCTGAGCCAGTTAGTAGTCTGCCTTTGATACCAAGACTTTCCAATTTCATGAGTAATCTTTTGTGAGGTACTTTATCAAAGGCTCTACTGAAGTCTATGAAGACGACGTCAACGGGTCTTCTGTTATCCTTTGATTTAACCCAGCTTTCTCTTGCAGTCAGGAGATTTGACAGGCATGAGAGGTTCCTCCGGAAGCCATGCTGTGCTCCAGATAACAAGTTGCTATTTTCCAGATAAGCCATGATGCTTTTCTTGATAATTCTTTCCAGTGTCTTGATTAAAGTGCTGGTGAGACTGATAGGCCTGTAATTTGAAGGGCTTTGTCTTGATCCTCCTTTGTGTATGGGGGTTACTATGGCGTCTTTCCAATCACGTGGCAACACTCCATTTTGGAGAGATAGCTTGACGATTGTGGTCAAGGGGCCGGCTATGTGGGCTGATAGCTCCTTGAGAAGCCTTGGATGAAGACTGTCAGGACACATTGATTTTCCTGCATCTAGTTTCATTAAGAAGTTGAGCACGATGCCTTGGTCGATGTCAACGGAATCTATCCCATGTTCTTCTGATGCAGCCAGAGCTGATCCTATAGGCAGTGATGACTCCTGAGTGAAGACTTGGGAGAAGTAGTTTGCCATTGCTTCTGCTTTTTCGTGATCTTCTTCGATTGTATCTTTGTCAATAATCAGGTTTGGGACACCATTGGGTGTTTTATTCCTGAAATTCAAGTACGAGAAAATTTTCTTAGGTTGTGCCTTTGCATTTTGGGCCAGGTGTGTCTCGAACTTCATCCTTGATTGGCGGATTTCTGCGATAGCTTTATTTCTAGCAGTAGTATATAATTCCCTGGTCTCAGAAGTCTCAAGTGTTGCAAACAGGTTCCAACATTTGCGTTTACGTCTGAGTAACTTACGAATCTCCCGGTTTATCCAAGGAGGGGAATGTTTCCGACCCTTTGGAACAGACCAAGGGATGAAGGGTACAGTTACTTGGGCGTAAAGTTGCTTAAATTGGTTCCATGCGGCTTCTACTTGGGACTCTGGATTGATGTACCAGTTTACTGAGTTGGCTGCTGAGACGATCGCATTTATGTCAGCTTTCCAAACGTTTGGTCGAGCTGGGGTTTTGGCCCTTGCTGTGAACTTGAAAGTGAGCACAGCATGGTCACTTCTTCCTAACGGAGGAAGATGTTGTATGAGATCCACATCCTCACCGTGTGAGAACACTAGGTCCAGAGTTGACGAGGAGTGCTGTGAGTCATAGCGCGTGGGCTTAATGATATGTTGGACTAGGGCTAGCGATATACTAGATTCTAGCAGTTTATGGTAAAAGGAGTTGACTGAAGATGGAGTTGTTAGGCTCGACCAGTCAACTGTTGGGGCGTTGAAGTCACCGACTACGAGACTTCGACATTTTGAAGTCCAGGAGCCTAGCTTCTCTATTAGGAAGTCGTCTGCACTGCAGTCAGGACTGCGGTACACAGCAATGAGGTCAATGTCTTGGCCTATGCATTTAAGTCTGCAGCGTAGAAGTTCGCACGACTCACTTTCGTGGGCGAGTGCTTCCATACTACGCACGGTTAAGCCTTTCTTGAGGTAGATGACTACGCCCCCTCCTTTGCGGTTTAGTCGGTCTACCCTGTGCACTTCGAAGTTTGGCAGGTTAACTTCGTTGTCAGTGACATCGGGTGTGAGCCATGTCTCTGTGATAATAATTACATCCGGGTTTCCAGTTTCTATCATGTTTGCCAGCTCAGTCCTTTTATTTAACAGGCTACGGGCGTTTGTATAGCAGACTGTTAATTCAGATTGGTGCTTCCCCGGCCCACCCACAGAGGTTTCGGGATCATTACACTGCGAACTCGGACAACCCGAAAACCCTTAATCTTAAGGTTCTTCTCACCGTTCCGGCGTCGCTCACTTAATTCTAGTGCCGCAGCCTGTCTTTTGACACGGTCTGCCAGGCTTAAGTCAGCGCGGACATATATCCCTGATCCTTTGAGAATATAAGAGTTGCTTAGAATAGCGTCCCTCTCCGCTTTAAAGTTTAGTACGACTTTGAGGAGACGTACAGGTTCACTTACTGTAGGGTCAGGCTTTTGACCTATTCTGTATACGCTGTGTATAGTACTGCCTGTAACTGTTTGTGGCAGTAGCTTGTCTAAGAGGGGCTTGACCATGTTAAGGTCATGCTCGAACCTGATACTGTTTTTGGTGCTACTGTACCATCAACTTTAAGCGAACTTGATGCAGAACCGTTCATGGGACCAGGGGTACTACAGAATGCAGCAGGTGGACATCCACCTATCATGTGATCCTTAGGCTCAACAACAACAGAATCTGGAATGTGATCAGATTGAGTAATATTTTCTTGATTATCTATAAATATTAATTCAAATATAAGATTGAATCACTTACGTTTTGGCATTTGATCTGTAAGACTAACAGTAGGATGACTAACATCCGATTCAACAATTAAATTATGCCTTTCATAAGATGAAAAGTCTGGAATAAATCCACTAACACCAGGGACTATATCTTGTTGTTTCTCTTTCCGTTTTCCTCTGTAAAATGATGAATACATCATAAGTGGAAATTTATCACAAACTTTACTCGGATTGGTTCAATGTAAGACTCAGAAAACAAATCACCTGTACTGTTAAATACATCAGTCTTCTTAGGAGAATAACTGCGGAACAGATCATCATCCGAAGACATTTTCAAGTCTGTATTCAGCAACAGTAGGAATAGTGCGTCAGAGAATCAGTCTGTAAGAAAGTGCAGAAATAATCTGATACGTGAGTATACATAAATAGTAGGAAGTAAGGCTCTATTCCACAGATAGACCTGTCATTACGTCATGAAAAGCTATGGATTTACAACTTAAGGAGGGCAAAAAAATCACGTCAAACATATTTTCTAAGGGCTGAATTACAGGAGAATCGATATGCTTGTTTTCTAAGCATGTTCCAGAGTGCCAAGCTTAGCTAATTTTCCAAATAGTGACAATTAGGATACTGTGAGACTTGAATACTATTAGAATAGGTCAGTGAACCATATTTTACCCTACAGTTGTGAGTCATGGGAATACAAGAATACAGGAAGCGAGTTGCGGAATGCTTGCAGTAGCCTCCTCAGACTTATCAAACATACTTCATTGACGAACCCATAACATTTTACCAGGGAGCAACTAAAGTCATGCATCTAGTCCTTACTTTGGTGCAGGCCGAATTCTACTATTAATGAAGTTACTAATGAAGTCATCATGGTGCACTATGAATTTTTGATATTAGATGGTTAGTAACACCACCGAATGAAGCATTAAGTGACCCGCATCCGAATCTCGGAAGCCACAGTCAACTCAAGACTGCAGATACGCCTTGTTGAAGAGTGCCACCAGACACGTAGCCCAGTTTCAAGGCTTCCTGCCGACTACCTCTGAATATCTACTACATGTTCTACCTTAAACTGGCTGTAGATGTTGGTCAAAATCCTACGAGTGATAGTTCACGAATCATTATACGTTGAAACTACTAAACGGACAGCCCAGCACTATTTCAATCCGAGAAGCATGGGAACTTTCTGTCGCGAAACTCCGCGTGGATTCGTTAGCTTATTACGGAACCTAAGGTTAACTTTCGAAACCCCATGTACTTTTTAATATGCATTCTTTTTCAAGCATTTAAGGAGATGCAGAAAATGCATTTCTTCAATAGATTTCCGGTTTGATTATATTTGTTTTTCATTTTCTGAGACTACTTCATGGCGTCTGCGCACTCAAATGGCTAGTCCACGAGCTTTCTCCAGACTGTTGCCGGGGACAGATTTTTCATGTAACTGTTGGACAGCCATACTTTGTCGCAGGAGGATTAACCCTTCTCTTAGTTCTCCATACAATGTTGATCGGTTGCATGTTTCTTTTTCAAACATAATTGTAGCACAAGGCTATATAAAAAGAACAAAGTACTTCTAGGGCGTCTAGGGGGATTCACATTACTGACACTCGGTACTACTTCACTTTCAGTAATCAATTTTTTTGGCCTAAATTAGACAATACACCACCAACACATAGCTCACCAGGTCACGGGTGCGGCAATGGATAAAGGCACACACGACCTTATGGAGAGGCTGAGCACCTCAAGGTCACATATGCATACTGTGATTGGTAAATTTTACTTTGCGTAAACACTGCGGCTAATACGTAGCTCACGTTACTGAGGCGGGCTTTGAAATGATAGTAATAAAATTCGCATAAACACTACATTTTTTCAGCTTAAGGACAAAAGTAAACGCATGCATAGATTCTACAGATGTGATATGCATGTGGACCCACTAAAAAAGAGAATATTATTGGGTAACTTAATCAAAGAAGTATAAAGTTTGAAGATTTAGTCTTTTTCAGTTGATTGTAGAGGACAGAGAGGAGAGGCATTTGTGTAACATTTGCATTTTGCAGATGACAAAGTGTGAAAGATAAATCGGAAGTTTTAGGATTCTCCAAGTTTATTATGGGACATATGGACTGTTCATACCGATTCTACTATTGTTCCCTCCCTTGTTCACATATTCATTGTTGCTAAGATTAGGGATTGTTCACCTGAGGTAAGATTAATTCATCTAATATGTATATATCCTCAGATATTTCTCAGTGTGGTCGGAGGAATACTATCTCAATCTTTGCATGGAAAGGTCATAACCAGTTTCTTCTGAAGGATCAGGTGGTGCTGAAAGCTGTAAAGACTGGTCCAATGTCACAATCATCTACGGGAAACTGATCCACATATTGTGGATAAAACGATTAGTAGACTTTAATTTGACAATCATGTACCCATAAAAAATCTACAACTGTGATTTTTTTTCCACCTTTTTTAACGTGAATATGTACTGTTTAACTCTTTTTATTTTGTAAATATATGCATTTATGTTGACTACATGTATCTCTCTTAATTATCATTTCGAGGAAATTGCATAGTTAACGAAGTTGATAGACAACGTAGTAATACCTGTGTGAAATGCGTGATAATCGTAAACCGTTATTATTTCCTCAGTGCGTCATCAAGCCTCCCATGAAATGTTTCAGTTACACTCAATGCGGCTGCGTAAAAGATTATCTTTCATCAGGGCTTGCGAAAAAATGTACGTTGAGCTTGGGTTTGTTTTGCGATTTCTACATATACATAACAAATGTAGGGTGGCTACGTACATCGAAAATAACGCGTCATAGGTATATCCTATTGAAGAAAATCCTAGTATTCTTATGTTGCGTAAATTATCACTTTCAGATTAAATCACTACGCATTCCAAAACCGGCTACATCACTATTCTTTCGACAAGCAAAGGGAAGTAGTAGTGAATAATTTAAAGAACACCGCTAAAACATTAAAGGGATATTTATTTTGATAAATAATTTTATAATATCACAAAGATGCCAACGATAACGCGCAAATTCTTCAATTGCACTTCATCAAAGCCTCCAAATAAGGTGAACCACTCCGTAAATTACAATTGCAACCTGCAAATCAACAATAGTATGACATCCGTTAACAAATAATTAGCAACACAAAAATACTCCAAACCAAAGTGACTATTTAGAAAAATTTGTTTATTAACTGCTATCTTGCGAATAAATCAACTAACACTCCTTTATAGCTGTAGACTCTTCTGAATGTTACCAAGTTTTCATATCTCAAAGATTCAAAACACCCTTTCAGAATTTCGCAAAATATGCATCAATTGCCTAATTGATTTCGTTTTCCTTAACGTAATCAACAATTTACACAGAGTTTTAACAATCCACATGGAAAGAAATAACGAAAATCAATGACAGATACATGTTCGCTCAAACTGCTGAAAGCGCCAACTTTCCACCATTTTTCTCAATTTTTCGTTAAAATATGGTATTTCTAATGTATTCCAGTTGAAAAAACACCAGAAAACAACGTAGAACAACCCAAACACAACACCGCGATAACACATAACGACACCCCGTGTGTGCCTTTATCCATTGCCCACGGGTGCACGAGGAAGAATTTGAGGTGGCGGCTGCGGAAGTTGAAATTCACATAAACAAACGTGTCAAAGTGATTGAAATGAAATAATCACCATTTGCCTTGATGCAACTTCTCAATGATTAAATACATATTGTATAATATTCAGGCTGAAATGTTCCTCACCTCATGCATTTCCGATGTTAGTATGGCTGCGCTACAAAAACGAAATCACACCCTTAAACCCACTATTCCCATGTTTCCAAAATTTTCCTAAATTTCCTACGTCTACAGAAAATAGTTTCCCACGTTTTCCCACATTTCCCATGTCATTTGAGAAAATATCCCACTTGTTCCCACTCTACCCATGTAACAAACGAAAACAGCCCACATTTGAAGGGAAAACTGCACACGTATGTACCTACATATCCCAGGTTCAACAAAAGTAACTGACTGAGTTGCCACCCAGTCACCCAGGTTGAAGTAGGTGGCGCCAGACTCAAACATGTGACCCATATGTCGGGAACTAAGAGCTTGGTACGATCGTCCAAATCTCAGACAATGGCCATGAGAGGGTTACGACGGGCTTGAAGCCGCCCACCAATAACAAATCTTGGGAATGAACTACAAACCTGGTCTGAAATCTCATGCCAATTGTGTGGTATTCTAAAGACCTTAGAGAAATTACGTGGAAATTCGGAACAGTATTCGGTGAGGTGTAGTTAACAAACTAACTAATTAATTCACCATTAAATTAATGTAAAGTAAGATTGATTTTTCCCCTGTTGTTTGTCTTGTCATTTCATTTAAAAATACTTACGTGTGATATGGCACATACACTTTTTATCCCTTATTTATGGGTAACTACGACGTCAAGTTGCGAAACGACCAAACCCAACTTACTTAAATACCAAAACGTGCAATTAGGACCTGCCGCTAATTTAAACAACTCTCGTTTTCGATGCTTTCATTATCCAATGAACTATTAGCCATGCAGTATAAACCAGTAGATTTCTTCTCCTCGTTGATTGGTAGAGGTACAGCACAGCTTGATTCTGGATAGGTTTCTGTGTGGTTACACCTTAGATACTGCACTACCATAGCTACGGTGAACCTGTAGTGCACCTCACATGGCATAACAATCAACCTAGGGCTAAAATGTATAGATCAAACCGAATCAACTTGATATAAACTAATTAAACTTCTGGCGTGGATTTGGAAGCCATAGATGTTTAAGTTTTTCCAACGAGTTTATATCTAGACGAGCTCAGACGCCACTTCACTCTCTTTTCTTATGCTATCAATACTCACATACTCTGAATCCGTAGTTCAGCCATATTAGTCAGGTGAGTTATGAGATTCCTTCCCGAAATAACTTTGACTTTTTGTTGTATTCCAATGTATCTCTCATCAGTGCTCATTACTAAATAACTGAGTCTCCTAGAGTTGTGTTTTGCTGTCGGTACTTACAAATTAGGCACGGTATTGATTCATACGGCTGGTATTGCGTAGTTTAACATTGCAACAACCAGTGGCCCACAGGAGTTGGTGAAATTTCAGTACACCATAAAAACGAGGCAGTGGTAATTTCATTGGCTGCGAAAATGATTCCGAATGTGAAAAGTGGGTAAAATAAGCTACTGAATAAATTACTGCACAATCTTATACGGTATAGATTACGCCACTTCAAACTAATCCAAGCTTGGATGTCTACTTCACAACCAAGCAACT